ATGCAGCTTCATTGTCACTTGCCACTCACTGATGAAGTTCTGCTATGAGTCTGCAAGAAATTGTTATGGTCTCTGTGCAGTCAAACCTCTCTGCTAATGATAATCTGTATTTGTGGCCACTCCCCAGCGCCAGCATCACCACCTCAGCTTCACTTTAGATCATCAGGCATTAGATTCTCATAAAGAGCATGCAACCTAGATTCCTCCAATGTGAAGTTCACAGTAGGGTTCATGCTCCTATGAGAATCTAATGCTGCCCCTGATCAGATGGGTGGAGCTCAGGCAGTAATGCAAGAGATGGGGAGCAGTTGTAAATACAGATGAAGCTTCACTTGCTCACCCATTGCTCACCTCCTGCTGTGCGGCCTGGTTCCTAATAGGCCAAGGACCAGTACAGTGGCCGGGGGGTTGGGCCACTATACAGAATGAAGCTCCAACTGACCAAGCAGCCTGACCAGGGCAGCATTTTTCAGAGACTCAAAAAATTTATATAAGTATTTAGAAGTATAAAATTACTCAAAGAAAAATATAAGGATAATTATTGTAGTGCTTTTTTCTGTAGGTTGGAATTTTGAACATTGAAAATATTTGACTCATTCTATTGTGCAGATATATTCCTTGTCTGCACTGTGATAGACTTTTGTTATGGTAAGTTGCTCCCCAAGTATTTGAATGTAAGATAGTGAGATTTCCTTATGAAAATTAAACTTTAAAGCCAACACATAATATTGAAAGATATGAAACATTGCCTAAAGGACCAAATGACCCCCAAACCTAAAGCAGTTCATTAAAACCAATTTGAGTACTAACATTGCTAAAGAAAGACTGTTCAGCTAAGAGGAATAGTCAGCAGCCAGGAGATCAGGGACAAAGGAAGGTCACTGGGACAAATGCGGATAGTGTCCATCAAGCCCAATGTAGGGAATTGGGTGTTCTGCTTGTCTAACACCTCTGATGACCTATCTAGATACAGATGAGATATCTTTACTTTGAACTATCAAATATTTGAATTTTATAACTAACCCATCTAGCTTTGGTACTGTGTTCACAAAAAGGACTTCTGTTTACAATGTATCTTTCCAAGGTGATAGACTTGAAAGACAATAATACCTCAGAAGTCATATACTATACATTAGTAAACTTTGGTAAATGAACAAAGTTGTATCTCTTAGGGTGCAGGTTTAAAAGAAACATACCTTAACACATTCACTGAGGCTTCTTGACACACAGCTGACCTTTCCTTTTATTATTTACTTTACCTACATTCTCCAATAATTTTTTCTGGAACATGTGTGACTTTGAGATACATCATTTATTACATGTGACCCAATGCTTTGGCTGCTTACTGTAAATAAACAAACAAAAAATGGGTTGGGCAACAAATAAATTGAATTAAAAAAATTAACCATGAAAAACCTCCACAAGTGTTCAGAACCCTCAACTCCCATGAAACTTGTATGTACAACTTATATACTTGCCCTGTTCTTATCTGTTTACAGCTTTCTTTTTCACTGAACATACTTCAAGCTGTCTAAGGCCAGGGACCATATTTTAATTCTTAGCGACCTCATTGCACTTAAGCAGCATACCATGAAATGAATGAAATTCAGAAACTACAGCAGTTGTTAAAAAATACAGCCTTTCTGCTTCTGTGTATACTTTTTTACAGTAAGGAATTAATGTTAGAAGCAATGGGAGAAAACATTGTAAGGACAAAGGCTTTAACAGAAACACGGAGGTGTGACAAACTATTTGGTTTGTGGCTATGGCCAGAGCAGTGTGGGTGATTGTTTGATTTATGTTCTGTGAAAGAAGTATGTTTGATGTGAGTGTGCTAGTTCATCTAATTAATTTAAAACAGGACTTAAAATCTCCTTAACCCAATTTAAAACTTAAAACATAACTGACCATCAGTCAACAGGAAATATACTTGCAGATTTTTTCTTTGGAAGAATACTAAGATTTCATTCTGTCAGCATTGTATGCTTCTAATATAGTAATTATTTTGCCTACTTTAAAGTTTATGCTGGATTTAGATGATGTTGAGATAGTTTGTTTAAAAAGTCTCAGTATGTCAACATTGAATAATTTTGTGTATTTTTGTGTTCTGCAGTAAAAGTCATTGTAGCCTTAAGACTAGGCCTCATTAACTCATTTAATTCCCTTATTTCTCATATTCAGTGCCCAAATCCCACCCCTTTTAACCAACAAGCATATCTGGAATCTCTTTCTCTCCATTCCTACTGAGATCTTTATTCCTGTTCAAAATTCTATAACTTGTCACTCTTTCTCCAATTTTGGTTTACTCAGTTGACTCTCCAGTGCAGCCAGGATAGTCTAAAGCTACAATATGGATCATGTTGATGACCTCTCAGTCTCCTAAGGATAAACCTCAAACTCTTTGAGTGGCTTCTGAGGCTTCGGGTTATTGCACTTTGGCTTACCTTTCTGTCCTACTTACCCTTTGTAATGTAACCATGCCGTGTTTATCATTCTTCAGTGTGATCTGCTCAGGGTCTTCTCCATTTTAACAGTAATTACTTAGGGAGATCCTTTCTATTCTCTAGATCAGGGTCAGATGCCCTTTTGCTCTCATATCTCTTGTTTTTTTCTGTCAAAACAAAACATTCTTGTTTAATTATCTGTCTGCTTTTGTAATGACATATTTTTGTCCTCATAGGTCTTCAGAACCTATACAGTATCTGACATGTAGACAGTGTTTAATATTTTATATGTGACTATAGAAAGGGATGTGGTGTAGTTTAGGAGAGTCTTAGTGAGAAGATAGGACTTCAAGAATTAGTACCTATTTTTTATTGCAGTAAGAGAATAAGTACTACATAGATGAGACATATTTCTCTGCATATGATTTTTCATTCAAGTGGGTCATTGTGTGCATATAGATAAAATACCGAATGCTTCGTCTCAACTTACGCAGTTAGAGGCAGTAATTTCTCTAAGGGGAGGGTATGGATCAGGCTTTAAGGAAGCCTAATTTTCTTCCTTTGTACAAATAAATATTATACAATTTTAGGGTATAATATCTTTCCCCCAAAATTTATTGAGATACAACTGACATAACAGTGTGTATGTTTAATGTGTGCAACACATTGATTTGCCACTCACCTATTTGATATACTTTTATATTGCAAAATGATTAGCACCATAGTACAGTTTCTAAGTATTTACTAGAATGTTGTCAGTTGTAACCATTATGCCATGCACTGGATCCCCAGAGCTTTCCTCCCATAACTGGGTCTTTGTGCTCTGTGACCAGCATCGCCCCTTGCCCCCATCTCTCCAGCCCCTTAAAGAAGCCCAGTACTTAGGACTCGTTTTGACTAGTTTTCACGATAATACATATTATACTTATCAAATGTTGTGAATGGGAGGAGGGAAATTATAGTGATTTGTTACGAGTCTGCATTTATCTAAAAACATTTTCTGTATAGCACTTTAGCTGTTATTAAATTTAATTTAGTTTGTTTCACAGGTATATCAATAGTGTTAATAGGCATACAAATGAAGTGTTTATTAACTCAGATTATCCATAATGGGAAAGCTCTTTTAGGATAATATGTTGTACTTGTTCTAATTTCAAATTCAGAGGGATTGGCTATAATATTAGTCTAGTTTTGTTTTATTTTTAAAACACAATTTTTGTCCCTTGGTAAAGAAAAAGTATTTTTATATATAATTATAGAGGATATTGGTTTATCAGTCCCTAAAGGACTACTTTATCAGTCTTAAAAAAAAAAAAAAAAAGAGAAAAAAAAAAAAAAAAAAAAAAAAAAAAAAAAAAAAAGGGGGGGAAAAAAAAAAAGAAAAAAAAAAAAAAAAAAAAAGGGGGAAAAAAAAAAAAAAAATTTCCTGGTTCTACTATGTTATAGTAAAACAAAGCATTATAGGAACTTTGATGAGCATAAATAAGACAGTGAAAAATCACAAGGAAAATGTCAATAACTTAACATAGGTTTCATTCCTAGATTTACCATGCACTTTTGGGATTTAATACTACTTGCACATGGTATTTTCCAGAAAATATTAAATAAACATATAAAAGGTACTTTGATTTGCAGCATGTTGATTTGGAGAATGTGAAAAAAAAGTTCCTGAAAAAAGTGAAATGCTTTTATCTACTTATCAGTTTACTGTTATACACAATTATCAAAGATTGACAGAATAAAAAATTTTCAGTTTTAGCAACTTTTCATTTTAACAGGTTGGATGACTGATCATACACAAAGTTTGGAGGGAAGATCCCCTTTTAAAAAAGTAGTTTTTCTTTTTTTTTAATTTTTTTTTATTTAGTTACTTTTCAAGTACATTTTTTTCTCTCCCCCCCCCCCCCGTCCCCCCCCCCCTCCCCCCCCCCCCCCGCAGTCCTCATCTCTGTGTCTTTCATACTTGTTCCTCAAAATCCCTCCCCCCTTTTTCCCCTTAAGTTCCCTTCCCTCTCCCCTCTGGTCGCTGCCCACTTGTTCTCTATTTCAGCGTCTTTGTTTTTATTCTGTTTGCTTGTTTGTTTTATTCTTTAGCTTCCTGTCAAAGGTGAGATCATATGGTATTTGTCCTTCAATGCCTGGCCTATTTCACTCAGCATAATGCTTTCCAGTTCCATCCATGTTGTTGCAAAAAAGTAGTTTTTCTTGTTAAATCATTATACTAAAGCTTAATCAGGTATGGAGAAAACTGCCTAGTAATTAAGAATTGCCATTTTATCATGTTATTTGCAACAGGCACATTGATACTTAATTAAACAGAACATTACTTATTTTTAAAGACTTGAAAAAATATAAAACTCTCCTGGCAATTGAAATCTTTGCCGTAGTGGAAGTGGGGAACCTGGATGATGTGGATCATTCTGTGTTTGATGATGCAGAATTGCTCTAAGCAGTAAGCTTACTATTTTCAGAGAGCATTAGCAGCTTCAGCAAATAGCAAACACGACCGTGTCATCCTCCTTTAATACAGCATGTTTGTAACTGCAAAGGGGAGACGATAAGCAGTACTTGTATATGAGACCTGATATCTACATTACGGATTACAAAAAGATCGGAAAAGATACTGATGGACAGATCTGTTGTTTGATGTTTTCTTCACTAGCCCTGAAGATGCTGAGACATAGAGATGGCTGTGATTATCTTTTGTAAGACAGGAAATGCAATCTTTAGGGGTTTCTGGAAATAGAAAGGTCATGCAGTCTGGAACCTGTGAACCTTTTCAGTCTCTAAGTCATCAGGTATGACCTCATGCATATAAAACCATTAGATTATAGAGTTAATGCTTTTTATAGCCCTTAATCATTTGGAATATATTAACCTATATGATTGTTTATTATTAGATTTTCCTTAGGATATTTGAACAAGTAATATTTGGAGTAATAGATACCAACTAAACAATATGAACTTTGGAAATGTGTACATGTATTTCAGTTTTTGTTTACTTTAGCTTTTGTGGGGGAAAGTGGGGATTGAGGAAAAGATTCTTTGTGTGTGGTTACAATCAGGGTTTTGGGCTTTATAGATTTTTCCAGATTAAGGCTGAATACTGTATCTTTTATTGGGAATGATAAAAATAGCATGCATTGTTCAAGCCGATATGGATACTTCATATCTACCTGCTTCTATACAGTGGCATATTAAAACAGTTTTATTTGGAACTTCCTGGTTAGAAATAGACGTTGCCACCATTATAGTGTGCAACCACAGCAACACAAGTGTGATGAGTAAAGTCACGTTTATTAGCATCTGAGCTATACGCTGGTTTCCTGAAATTCCTATCTCAGTATCTGAACTGTCTTAAAAGGCATTGGTTTTAATAATTTCTCAGGTCTATTGAAATAATGATGCTCTTTGTCCTCTTAATGTAGATATCTGTAATGCATTGCTTACAGGTGAGAGCAGATGATAAATCTCTTTTTAAAAGAAAGCTTGTGACATTTAAGCTTGTTTAAGGTTTTTGACCCAGAGATATTCTGCATTTGCTTACTTTCATTTTCAAAATGAAAATACTTGACCACATTTGGCATATTAACTACAAAGAGTAGAGAATCATCACAGCAAATAATTTGGATTTATGTATCCATTTTATCCTGAAACGCTCTTATGTTAAACTGTTTTTACCTATTGAGTTACAATACAATTAATTAACTTTGGTCTGTGGTAGCCTATTCTGAGAATTACATGCTTGAGTAATTGCAAACTGTGCCTGGGTTTAACATTCAGATTATGAAAAAATATTTTTTATTTTTTGGTGTTATACCTAGTTCTGCCTCAGTTTTAGAGGACTTGGTGGCTACTTTACTAGGCATTCCATATTAAATGAGCAAAAAGAGAAAATGTTGCAGCATTTCTCAACAGAAAGATAGTTTTGTGTTTGTGATTTTGAGGCATGATTAGGATTTAATGCTTCTTTAGGGTGAAGTGATATAGTATTAAAAATGAATATATTTGTCAAAAGACTGAAGTGGAAGTCTGAAACAGTGATTTAATTCAATTCTCCTTTTTAATTAAAACCTCATTGAAAAATTATACCTACTGATATTGGCTATAATTTATATGTTATTCAGGCTACTTAGCCAGCTTATATTCTTATTAGTAGGGAAGATTGCCATATTTTAAGCTTGATTAGTTTTGGAATGATTTGAATATACCTTTTAGTTGCTACAAAACCTGTTTAATCTGTTAGAATTTATTTTCAGTATTTGCATGTATTAGTCACTGTGAGTACATTCTGTTTCTTGGCATTGCTTTGGGATTCCTCTAAGTATTGGCTTCACAGCATTCTGCTCTTTTCACTTTATTTATGACCTTTCCAAAGAGCCAAATCATAAAGATTTTTTGGTTACTTTCCTTTAATGGTACTCAAATAAGGATATCTCAAAAGTTTCATAAGATGAAAAATTTTACTTTCTTAGAGTTATTCTTTTACAAGTGGGAGAGATTTTTCTCTGTTGCTATGTCAAAATACATTAAAAAGTAAGGATTGGTTAGAATGTCACAGGCATTTAAGTGTAATGTCAATCATTTTGCCTGTCCAGGAAGATGATCTTGACCTTTTGAATGGTGAAATTTATTGTAAGTCTGCCTAGTAACAATATGTCACCTTCTTTTTATAATGGTTGTCTCTGTCTGTACCACTTTATATGTGCATTTCATTACATATCATAAAGGTTTCTAAAGATAAGCTGTCTTGATCAACTATTTGAGGAACTGTTCAATTCAGTACTTGTTATGTGCAAGCTGGTCATTTGCACATTATTGTCCTGGTTATTGTAGGGAATACAGAAAAGAAAAAGTTGTTTCCTGCTACCAAGATAATGAGAAAATAAATGTACATGAGCTATGTCTACATTTTGAATTGACCTTTCAATGGTTGTATGCTACAATCAGTTTTAATTTATAAACTGATGATCCTATAATGAGTTATTCATAACTCTTTTTTCTCATGCAAATGTCTTGGTATTAGAGAAATAAAAGGTTGAGTCAATATATATAATCAAGCATTTAATAATTTTGAAAACTGCATGAAGTTCTTTTATAACACTTAATTTGTTTCACTAGGGCATTATAAATTGAATCAATAAAATGACCTTGTATATTTTACAAGCCATAGTTGTTCATTTATTTTGAGAGTGAAGGTCAGTCTAGCTCATTTGCAGGTGGCAGAAGCAGGGACCCCAAGAGTTAGCTCAGAACAGGAATGTGACCAATCCAGTCTAATTCCAGGCTGTGCATAGGTAATTATGTATTATGAAAGGGAGTTTTGACTTCACAGGGATTAAACTTTTAGAAGTAAAGAGTAGCAAGTTTGGGAGTGTTTGTTGCCAACAAAGTCATTTGTGAAGTTCTTTGTACAAAATGTGGTGGAGGAGATAAGGTTCACCGCAGGCTCTGAGAAAGGGACCTGGGAGGAGCTAGTATGGAAGTGGGCCATAGCCAGCTGGCTGTTGGACATCCAGGGACTGCTCTCTGCTCTCTCATACTGGTATGCTGGTGGAAAGCATCAGGGGATGCATAGAGCTTATGCAAAACGCTGGTTTCTTCAGGACCTCAAACTGGGGCATGCTACCCAATAGTGCCTCCAAAACACCCGTTTTCTTGTATTAGAGCAATAAGAAATTGATTTGCACATTCTTCTGGCTTGTATAGTCTGATGGTTAAGCATCCAGACTGCCACATTCATGTGTTCAAATCTTAGCTATACCACTTACCAGCGGTGTGATCTTGGGCAGGTTACTTAACCTTGCTGGGAATCAGTTTCCTTATTTGTTAATGTAGGGTTGGTTAGTAATGGCAGCTACCTCAAAGAGTTCTTGTGAAGACTAAGTGAGTTAATGTGCATTGTATAAAAGCACTTAGAAGAATAGCAAGCACATCACTGCCAACATTAACAATTGACAGATATTATTATATGCATTCAAAGAGATAGGATGTCCTATTGGCAAGTGTAGGTAATGGTAGTCATGAAGATTAGTTTGGTTACGTCTCTCTCATTCTCCTTATCAAATAAAAATTGAGTCAAAACATGGTACACCAAATAAAGATGATTACTTAAAAAAGGTAAGCAAAGAAAACATGCTACCTTTGATTGAGCTCCAACATTTACTGACTATAATAACTGAAACGATGAAGAATTTTGTGTTTAAAGTTTTCTGCGTCTGCTTACTAGGCTGATTTAAACTTCTATAGTATTCTGTATGTAGACCCTTTGATTTTTTAAATGTTATACCAGGTATATTCATGACCAAAAAATGTTTGGACTTCTGGGAAAATTTAATAGCAGTGTTGGGTCTTTTTTTAGTTATAATTGAAGAATAAAATTAAGGAGTAAAATCAAAGTTTAAATAAAATAATAGAAACAAGTTCTATAGCTTAGATTTTATGATGTGAGTTATTTTTTAAATAATAAAAAAACTCAGAATAAAAACTGCACCAATGCCCTGCCTGATGTGGCTCAGTGGATTGAGTGCTGGTCTGTAAACTGAAAGGTCACAGGTTCAATTTCTAGTCAGGGCACATGCCTGGGTTTTGGGCCATGTCCCCAGGTAGGGGCGTGTGAGAGGTAACCCGATGTTTCTCTCCCTCTCTTTCTCCCTACCTTTCCCTCTCTCTAAAAGTAAATAAAATCTTCAAAAATAAATGAATAAAAACTTCACTGAAAGTTAAATGTACTTTGCTTCAGTAATTATATTTTTAATGGATATTTTTATTATAAATGAAATACTAATATGCAATATGTTAAAAAGACATTACTGTATATGAATAAATCATTTCAAGTTTCTATTTGATAAAGAATAATATTTTGAATCAATGATAATTATTTAATATAAAAAACATCTATTTGCTTAAAAAATTGTCATGTGTCTAAGTACAAGTGAATAATTTGGCATTAGAATGAAATCTAACTGGTTCAGTGTTGCATTTTGTGGCATTTTTGCACTTTAGTTGTTTTCTCTTGAGCAATTTTCTTAATCTACAGCTATTTCCCCCAAACTGGCACAGTATCAAACAAACCCAAGCATAATTCGATTTGTTAAAACAAACAATCATACAAAACCCTACAGTGTTTTGGTCACAGTACTGGGCAAGGATATAAACACCCATGTTGTATGACCATCTTCCTTCAGAAGGTCATAGCTAGTGAGTCATGTACTGTAATTGCCTGTAACTATAACACAGTGAGGAAAGTAGTGAGTGCCACAGAAATTCAAAAGAGATGAAAATAGCAAAAGTATTTTTCTGTGAGTACAATGGGCAGGATATTTCAAGCTGAGTGGGGAGAGGAGAGGAGAGGCAGGCTAGATGGAATACTTGGGAAGTAAGAAAAAGGTAGCCTTTGAGGTAGATCTTAAAGACTGACCAAGATAGGGGAAAGGTCATTTCAGGCAAAGGAAACAACGTGAGCAAAAGTAGGCAGGCAGAAAGCAAGTAATACACTTGGGTAGTAGGGAATAGTTCATTTTGGCCATAGCCTAGGGGGTAAATTAGATGATTATCATAGGTAAGGTTTGTTGGGACCAGATAGAGTTGAGTCTTAAGTGTTAGATTATGATTTCTAAACTAAGAGCATTTCTATGCTGATCTACTTATTCTTGGGAGAGAATAAAATAAAAAACAAAAGAGGAGTACCTATATTTTACAGTCATTTTCATAGCTCTAACCCTCCTGAGACTTTGGAAATGAAAATTAAATTCCTGAGTAGATTATTAGTAGTTAGCAGACAAAGTAGGGGGTAGAA